ACTCTCTCATCACTGATGTTTCTATCTCTCTCTCCCTCTCCCTTCCTCTCTCTGAAATCAATAAAGATATATTTAAAAGAAGAAAAAAAAGCACCAGGCCTAGAGTTGGCAGGTATGAGAGTAGGATTGAAGAAGAGGGGTTGAAAATGGGAGGTTAATGAAAGTCTGTGTCCAAACACCTATAGTAGTCCCACATCTCATTCTACTCCCTGCCCCTTTCCCTCCATCCCTGAATAGGAAGACAGCTTATAAAAGAAATAAAAATTTAAAAAGTCAACCAGAGGACAATTCTTTTTAAAAGTTATTAAAACTGCCCAAAGAGAGTAAATGGACAAGGGTGAATGATGGGCCTCCCAGAATAAGGCCCTCTTCATTCTGTATCCAGGTGTGCCCAGCCTGCTAGGCAATTTCCAGAACATTAATCCTAAAGAAAAGTCTGCCAATCAACACACCTCAAAGAAGTAAATGAGCCGAGTTTGCTCTGCTTATTACCTTTTCGTGGGAGAAAGAAACATAAAACACTGCAAACCCACACAATCCACCTAAGAAAATCAATCCAGAAACCAATTACACTTTCAAATTTGAGGGGCAAAAAATCAGCATAAGAATGAAAGTCTTAAACAGATAAAACTGACTCCAGAGGAAATAAGATAATTCAAGAAACTGACAGTTTCAATGGCAGATATAACCTTTCAGATTATGATTATTCTAAATGTTTATCCTTGTCACTTTGTATATTATTGTTAGTGTGTTGTTTTGAATTGCTATAAACAAGTGCTAGCAAGTCAGAGGTGGGATAGCAAAAGCTTTCCAAGCTTGAACAATAGTAGATGTATCTGAATAATAAAAAATAAAATTTTCTCTATAAAGAGCACCCTACAATTTATATATTAAACACATACATACCTTAAGGAGGGGTAATTCTAAGAAAAACGAAATCTAAGGCAAAAAATTGCTCTCTCTGTAATATTAGTTTCTACCTATTAAATCACAATCTCTTTAACAGATGGTAGAGTTAGGGAAGTACTTAATGCAGTGGTATCCTAACATTGAAAAGACTTTTCAGAATTTGAAAACATGCTAAGTAAAAGAATGTCAAACACAAAAGATCACATATTGTATAATTCTATTTACATGAACTGTCCAGAATAGGCTAATTCATGGAGATAGAAGGTAGATTAGTAGTTGCCAAGGGCTGGGGGGTAGGTGAGAAAAGGGAGTGATTACTAATAGTTTCTTTTTCTTTTTAGACTGATAAAAATATTCTGGAATCAGAAAGTGGTACTAGTTGTACAACTTTGTGAATACATTAAAAACCACTGAATTGTATACTTTAAAAGAGTGAATTTTATAGTATCAGAATTATATCTCAATAAAGCTATTATTAAAAAAAGACTTTTCAGAGGGAAAAAAGGCTGTTTCCAATCAATATTTGGCAAAGCTTACATAGGAAAATCCTGTTAATCACTTTCACAAATGACTGACCTGGCTTAGAGAAAAGCCTATGCTAGGACTTGTTTTAACCTAAGAAGTCAAGAACTCTTTCTGGTAATTCTAATTTATATGCATAACCCATGGACAGGGGAAATAGGGCGGTGAAGGCCTGGGGAGGGGACGGAAGTGGGGAGGAAGGGTCAGTGCAGGGGAAAAAAGGGAAGATCTGTAATACTTTCAACAATAAAGATAAATTTAAAAAAAAAAAAGCTTCCAAATGATCACAAACTTTAACTTCCCTAGCAGTTCTGACCTTATTTTCTTAATAACTTTCTTCACTGAAATCGTTTTCCCTAATTTAAGAGCTTGGCCTACAGTAAAGGCAATTAAAAATAATTTAACAAACTTTTCTTAGATAAGAATTTATCTTGGCACACTCACACCCTGAGATCATATATTTATACCCTGGAAGCATTCCTAGAATTTTTCTCAGATATTGAGCCCTCCTTGTGGTATTCATGCATTTTGTTTTCCATAAGGATTTTTTAAAAATATACCAAACCTTTTGTGACTTACAACAAATTCAAAGTGAATAGAATGAACACTTGGCAGAAGACTTTTTTAAGATGCACATTATAAAGAAATGTTAGAGCAGTTAGGGTATGTTGTCCTTCACGGTGGAAAAACAGCAACGTGACTAGCAACCTTCTCCATATAAACCATCTGGGACATAAAAGCATTGACCAAACATAAAGATAGAAAGCATCTGACAAAATATAACATCCTTTTTTGATAAAAACTCTCAACAAATTGGGTGTGGAAGGAATGTACCTCAACACAATAAAAGCCACAAGGACTAGCCCACAGCTAACATCAAGACTCAATGGTGTAAACAAAAATTAAATTTTTTAAAAAAGGGCTCAATGGTGAAAGGTTGAAAGCTTTCCCCCTAAGAACAGGAACAAGACAAGGGTGCCCACTCTCACCACTCCTATTCAACATAGTAATTGGGAGTCTTAGAGGAATTAGGTAAGAACAACAAAAAAGGCGTTCAAATTAAAAAGAAAGAAGTAAAACTCTCTGTTTGCACATGATATGATCTTATATATAGAAAATCCGAAAGATTCCACCAAAAAACTGCTAGAACTAATAAGTAAATTCAGTAAAGTTGCACGATACAAAATCAATATACAAAAATCAGATGAATTTCTATACACTAACAACAATCAGAAAGAGAAATTAAGAAAACAAGCCCATTGATAATAGCATCAAAAAAGAATAAAATACTTAGAAATAAATTTAACCAAGGAGGTGGAAAATCTGTACACTGAAAAGTGTTAAGATGAAAAAACTGAAAAAGACACAGGTAAATGGAAGGGTCTCATGTGTTCATGGGTCGGAATAATTAATATTGTCAAAATATCCATATTACCTAAAGCCATCTATAAATTCACTGCAATCCTTATCAAAATTCCAATGGCATTTTTCACAGAAAGAGAAAAAATAATACTAAAATTTATATGGAGCCACAAAAGACCTCAGAGGCAAAGCATCCTGAGACAGAACAAAACTTGAGGCATCACACTTATAAGTGAGACTACTTATAGTATGTATACAATGAAATATTATTCATCCATGAAAAAGAAGAAAATCTTGCCATGTGCGAAAATATGGATGAAACATGAGGGCATTATGCTAAGTAAAATAAATGAGACAGGGAAAGACAAATATTATACAGCATCATTTACATGTGAAATGTAAAAAGGCCAGACCCATAGAAACAGAGAGTAGAATGGTGGTTGCGAGGGGCTGAGGGGTGGGGGAAATGTAGAGAGATGTTGGTCAAAGGGTATAAAACTCCAGTGAGCAGATAAATAAGTTCTGGGGATCTAACGAACAGTATGGCAACTATAGCTAATAATACTGTATTACATATATACTTAAAAGTTGCTAAAAGAGTAGATAGGTCTTAAATGTTCTCACAATATATGTGTATCAAATCATCACACTGTACACCTTACACTTGAACAATGTTATATGTCAATTATATCTCAATAAAGCTGGAAAAAACACCAAAAAAAAAAAAAAAAGAGCATGTAACAGATGATCATATTTCAGAGGAAAGAGGGAAGGGGGGGTGGAGGGTGAGAAGAGATCAACCAAAGAAGTTATACGCATTAACCCATGGACACAGTTAATAATGAGGTGAAGGCCTGGGGAGGGGGAGGGAGTGAAGTGGAGGGGGTCAATTGGG